CCTTTGCTGCCTTAAACCAAACCCAAACTAACATGCTTCCTTTTTCTGCTTTATAATAACCTTCCTTCAGGACCAAATAACCGCATTAGTTACAAACTTATACAACCCCAAGACCCAAACACACTACTAGGATATTTGATTTTGACCCCTACCCTAAAGCAACCCCCTGACTCCTCAGCAATAGCTCTACAATCCTTCTGAGCATGAAGTAACTATAAAAGATGGACCTCCCTCCCTCAACAACCCTAGAGTGAGGTTGCTCCTCCTGATGTAAAGCTAAGGGATAGGCCTAAGTAACTCCATTTAATATCTGGACTCCATTTTGTCCTGGCTTCTGTCTAATCTTCCTTATAATTTTAAGACCAGACCTATCTGTTAGGCTGAAAAGGCATGGAGAGACAGGCAAGGAGATGGCTCAATGTCAGCACAGGCTTTATTCAGGAAAGAGAGCTGGTGGAGGTGGGTCTCTAGCAGAAGCTGGAGCCCACTGTCATTTACAGCCTGGGAGTAGATATAGGGGGAGCTGGTGGAAGGTCACTGAGTGGGAAATTTTTCTTGTGGGTCACTAAGGAGTGCCATTGCTGGGTAACTAAGGAAGATAAGCTATAGTTCGCTCACTCATCTGCTTAGCTGTCCTTGGTCCCCAGTAAGAATGCCTAAAGGCAAATGTTTGTCCTTCTTTGGGGTTGGGTGGGGCTTTCCAGTAAGTCACCTTGCAGGAGGAGTGGGTCTGGTCCTAATGTGACTGCCCTTATATTCTCTCTCTCACTCCCTAGTAACTTCTCTGTTCTACTCTGAGAAACCACAGTACCCAAATCTTAGAAAACATGTCGAGGCCAAATCACACCTTTCTTAACTTGCTGGTTTAACCAGGATACCACCCAACCATGTGTTAAAGGGACAAATGACGAATCTTTTCACTCCCCACCCCTTCTTACAATCCCTACCTCACAAAAGCTCTTAAAAACTCACACCAATTATCCCACAGGGTGCTTGCTGCCTATAGTTTCTGGACCTTTTCTCCTTTGGAAAGAAAATAAAACATTGTCTCTGCTTTAACTCTGGCCTTGTGAAATCTTTTATACTCATGCCCCAGTCACACAAATGATACCTATTAGGGGTGCCATCCATCACCTTAGCTTCTACTGATCAGAAGAAACCACAGTACCCTCCTCCAGTTAAAGGGAGGGCATGACTCACAGGGGTCACTGGGAGTATGTCTGCCATGTGCTGTGGTGTGGGCATGGGAACTTTGCAGCATTCCCAAGAACACTTGAAGGTACAACAAAAGAGAGGTCACTGAATTCCAGAGACCTGTATCTTCTACCTGCCATCACTGTCCAGTCCAGCACCTGACCATGCGCCCAGATGCAGACTTACTCACTCAGGGTGACCCTTAGACCTGGTGGTTGGAAGGAGACAGACATGTCAGGTACAGTCAGACAGACATTTGGAAAGAAGGGTTAAATCACCCGATAAATTTGGTAAGTCCTTGCAAGACCCATCTATCTATATTCTTGTACTATAGTAACAAAATGTTCCTTTATTAATTTTTATTTGAGACATGGTTTCACTATGTAACCCATGCTGCAATTAAAACTCCTGATCCTCCTGCCTCAGTTTCTGAGTGTTCAGATTACAGCCATGTACCCCATGCCTGCTCTCTCTTCCACTAAGTCATCCATAATCTGATAGCATTATTGGGAGGGGGTGGGAACTTTCAGAGGTGGAGCTTAGTTGGAGGAGGCCTGTCCTTGAAGGCTATGTCTATCTCAGGCCCCTCTGTCTCTCTCTGCCTCCTGGTTGCCCCAAGGTGATCAGCTCTCCTGTGTATGTCATGCTGTCCTGCTCTGTCTCATCACAGGCCTGAAAGTAAGGGAGACAACTGGCCATGGACTGAAGCCCAAAAACAATGAGCCACAAGGAATCTTTTCTCCCTTAAGATGATTTTTCAGGTATTCTTGTTACAGTGATAGAAGAACTAACACAAACGTCTATAAAAACTATATGTCAAAGCACTATCTCCCAGTATGACTGCTCAGAGACAAGGTCTGTAGGAGATCAAGTTAAAGGACACCATAGGGTAGGGCTCTATTTTGAAATTCTATAGGGGTGCAGGTGAAGATATAGAAAGGGTGGCTGTCAGTGAGCTGGGAAGGAAATGCCTTTAGATCCGGACCATAACAGTGTTACCATCAGCTGGATGGGTCCAGCTCTACTCAGGTAAAAATTGCAACTAGGAGAGCAGTTCTTATCTGGAGTGCCGAGGCTTATGGGCTGGGCTGACAGATTTGGAGACTTACAGCTCCAGGTCCTAAAACTAGAGGCTTCTGACTCTGAAATCTAGAGGCAAGGAACCTAATGGCTTTGGGGGCTCACGTTACAGTCTCTGGTAGCTGAAGTCAATGGCAGGCAGTATTACAGCTTCCACGCACTGGGTGCTGTGACCCATGGCTCCTGAAAGCATCTAGTGCCTCCTCTTAACCCTCCAACCAGGGATAGACAGCTCCTTGGAATTCATCCAATTGGGGGCCCCTAAGTCCCATTAGTAATTCTGATCGGGAGTTACTTTCAGGAACTCTTCAGAGGCCCTCTAGCTACTACTATTGCTGCTGCTGCTGCTGCTGCTTCTCTCTCTTCACCTCACCTGCTCAGCCTGCTCTGCCCATCATAAGATCATAACGTCACACCACCAAAGGAGAGCACTAGTGGGTGTGCTGTAGGTGACTGGAATAGTGAGCCCAGCAGCCTTCTTATATAGCCAGGAGGAAGCCATAGCAACAATATTTGACCAATCACAGCACAGCCCTTCATGCAAATGAAGGATTGTGCCTGCACCAATCACAGCACAGCCCTCCATGCAAATAAAGGATTGTGTCTGCACCAATCACAGCACAGCCCTTCATGCAAATGAAGGATTGTGTCTGCACCAATCACAGCACAGCCCTCCATGCAAATGAAGGATTGTGTCTGCACCAATCACAGCACAGCCCTTCATGCAAATGAAGGATTGTGTCTGCACCAATCACAGCACAGCCCTCCATGCAAATGAAGGATTGTGTCTGCACCAATCACAGGCTCCCACCGGGCCCCAGGGGAAGTGCTCCCCCTCTGGCCGGCATGAGAATAGGTGCAGGGTCACCCACAGCTCCCTGGCTTGGAGCGCTGCTTTCCAAGCTGGCGCAGGCTGTCTTCAGCCATGGTCGTGGTGGTCGTCCACAGCCCCCGCAGCTGTCCATGGAGGAGTCAGCCAAGCCCTGGAACCTGACTTCCACAGTTCCTCTTGTTCACAGCCCTCATTCACGCTATTTTGTCCCAAGCACCCTAACCGTCATGCCAGCGTCCTGTGTCATTGAGGGACTTGGGTTTAAACACGGGTGAGAGTCCTCCAGTCCTGCATTAGTGACACAGAATCCAGACGTGACAGAGCAGATGGTGGGGAAGACGTGGCACCAAGCGTCTGTCATTCAGCGCTGCTGGAGCGGAAATGGCACAGCCGCTTTGCAAGGCAGCATGGCGGTTTCTTGGAAACCTAAGCCCACCCTCACCCTACAGCCCAGCACTCGTGTTCCTCGGGGTTCACCCAAGAGACACAGGAGCTGTGTCCAGAAAACCTGCCTAAGGCAGTTGTCAGCAGCTGCTCTCACAGTCTCCCCTCCAGGAAGCAGCCTGGGTGTCCTGAAGGTGACTGGCCAAGTGCAGGGCGTCCGTGGGCTCTGAAGCGCCCATGGGGGCCTTCAAGGGGAAAGTGGACTGCGTGTCACCAATGAGAGAAGGGGCCTGTGACAGTGTGCACAAGTCCAGCCGGGGCCATCGTGGGAACGCAACCCCCACAGGGGACATCATGACCCCCAGGGGCTGGGGAGGACCCATGACCAGGGGCAGAGACTCTTTGTTAAAAGGTGGAAAGATGAACCAGAGAGGGGAAGATGGCGGGTAGCCATGGCGTCCTGCGAAGTTCATAAAGAACTTCGCCCATGGAGACAGCAAAGGAGAAATCTGCCTTTGAAAACACGTGCCAGGACCCAGGACAGGGCCTTCGAGTCCCGCCAAGGGACAGGGCCCGGGGCCTGGGCAGCACCCGCCTGCTGAAGCCCAGAACCGCGCAGGACACGCAGGACGCGGAGCGGTGGGCGTGGCCCGAGGAGGAGGCGCTGCGCTGGGCGTCCAGAGGGGGCGCCGGAGGGCAGACGAGGCTGCCTGGGCCAGGAGACAGCTCAGCCCTTTTCCTTCTGGGGCCGGGGCTCATGGGAGATATGCAGATGAGCCCGGGGCACCATGGGAGGTGGCCCTTTATAAGCGCCCGGCGGGCTCAGCTCCGCCTTTCCCCAGGATTGCTTGGAGCAGAGGGCGGCTGGTGAGGACGGGGCGGGGCCTGTCGGGGTGGGGTCGAGTGGGCGGGGCCTAGCAGGGCGGGGCCTAGCAGGGCGGGGCGCCAGAGTCTGGAGCTGGGTGGGCTGAAGCCCCTTATGGGCCTCTGTCCTGCAGGCGCAGCCTGGGCATCAGGGTCCAGGCTCGCGCTTCCTTGGTCATCTTCAGTTCCACAGACCAGGCTGCCCGGGTGTATATTGGGGTTCTCGGGGATCGGGTTGACGAGAGCTGCAGCGGCTGGCGGGGTTGCCCAAAGGACGTCAGGACCTGTGCGCCTCAAGTCCAGCAGAGTCTGTCCCGAGAGGCCTGGCCTGAACCGGACCCTTTACACCAGGTCCACGACACCCCTCGCCTGGCTTGCCCCGTCACCCTGCCCGCCAGTGTCGCCTGACCTCACTTCCTTTGCTTTTCAGCTCCCCAGGGACTGCAGCACGGCTGAGAATTTCTGAAAATACAAGCCTCCCAACCTCTACAGGTCCTGTTGAATTGGGACCCCGTTCCTCCACCCCACCCCACTTCCCTAGACGAGGAACGCTCTCATCCTCCCCTTTCTCCTGTTCCTTCTTCCCCTTCCTCCTTGCCCCATCAGCTCCTGCCCTGCTGTCCACCCACAGGAGGCAGACAGGGTCATGTGCCCCCCTGTGAGTGTGCGCCATGGGAGAGAGGGCATGGCCTACCTTTATGCGTCCTGGATGTACCAGCTGCTCCACGGAGAACCACTGGGTCTTTGCTTTGCCTGCTTCAAGGTTGCCTTTCTGGACCTTAAAGACACCCTGGAGTCGGATGACGAGGGAGATGAAGACTGGGACCCTGATCCCCTGGAATCTCCTGCGGTAGGGCCTGAGCAGGGGGGGCCAACCTGGCCAGGGCCTAGCTGGGGACTTGGCTCTGGGCAGCCTGCAATGGGGGGTGCTGAGTTTGGGGGGCCAGGGCCCCTGGCATCTGTTCCGGGGGAGTTGGGTGCAGTGGGCCTGGACCACCCCTTTGTGCCAACTGAGCTGGGGCCTGAGGAGGCAGTGCCTCTGGATCTGGGCCCAGAGGATGATGACTGGACCCAGGCCCTTCCCTGGAGATTTTTGGGGCTTCCTCCCTGCTCACACTGGCCACAACCCCCAATCCCACGGCCATGTTTTTTCAACACGGACTTACCCTCCAGGGAGCCCATGATGTTGGAGGTGGTCACCAACCTGCCAGTGGACCCTGTGGAGATGAAGGCCTGGTTTTTAGGCCTGCAGATTTTCTCCATGGTGGGCCACTATGATGCCACCTACTTCAGGAAGATGATTCCAGGCTGTGTTCTGAGGGCTTCAGACCAGCACTGGAAAGTCCTGCTGAGTGCTGGTGAGGTATGCACTGTGAAGCTCCAAGATGCACCCCAGCAGCCTGACCTGCCTGGGCAGAAGCTGAGCATTCTGGAGACCACAGAGTTCGGGGTAGAGCTAGTCCCTGCAGACATTGTCCTGCAGAAGAAAGGGTTCAAAATCATTTCCTATTCACTCTGTAGAAAGGGGGAGGCAGAAGAGGGGGGCTCAGCCTCTAAGCCAAAGTCCTCCACCCAAGGACAAGATCCTGGCATTGCTGAGAACTGGAGCACCGGGCCTGGGGGGTCTGGGGAGAGGCTCAATGTTGTGGAAGCCTCAGCCCCAGAGCAGCTGCCCTGCTTCCAGTCCCTTAGCCCTGGGCCCCAGAATGGAGGGCCTGAGGCCCAGGCAGCCACCACTGTCCTGCCTGCTCCAGAACACCAGGGACCAGGAAGTTCCAACAACAGCTCCTCTCCAGCAGTAGTGGAGCAGTTGGCACAGGATGGGGACCTTCACTGATGGAGTCAGAGTGTGGACCCACCTTAGGGGCTGGGTGTTGGGACCTGAGGGGTCAGAAGAAAAGATTGCAGGTAGAATCAGGAGTTAAGTTCTATCAGTTGACTGCCAAGTAGTTTGGAAGGTGATGCTGACCTGGCCGTGCTGAGGTGGACATTTGTGCCTCTCATGATGTTGGGATCAGGGACAGAATGGTGTACTAGGTCTACCCTTGGTGCAGAGGGAATGCTGTGTGTGACACCAAGGATCACACAGATGAGTGGCACATGTTCTGTCCCTTGCTATTATGGTCTCTGAGGTGCCACAGGACCCTGGCAGCAGCTCTGGGGTTTCTGGTCTTCAGTGGGAGGCAACCTGGTTCAATTGTTGGGCACTTGTGTCTTGTGACTGTTTAATTCCTGTTCCTTCACATGTTGTTTTTGGTTAAATAAAGTCCTAAGAGCTTTGCTTCGCCCTGGGTAGTCAGTCCTCTGTTTGTGTGGTTGTCTTCATATTTGTCTCCTGGAGGCTCTGTGATCATCTTGAAGGCTGGAAATCCCACCAGGCTATGGGAGTAGGAGATAGATGAGGTTTCTGGTCTGTTTCCTGGTCATGTGGGGAGATTGTGTTTCTGGTTTTTATCAATCATTATTTATAAGCCTATAAATACTAACCGGCTATAACAAAGGGCCCTGTGTTGAACATGAGCGTGTCAACAGACAGTCTTATTCTAATTCATGTCCCAGGGTTTTAAGAGAATGTATAAGCCAAGCAAGTGTAAAGGATGCCCATGTCTGGAGACAGATACCTGAGCACTTGTGCCTGCACAGTGGAGGAAAGTGGGGATGGGCTCATCTGGGTGCTACAAACAAGTGATCCTGTGTGTGCCAGGTGTCTCCTTTAGTTGTTCCGTCTGGAGGTATCTGCAGTTTTTCCACTGTGCCTTCTGGTAATTCAAGATTGGGCCCTGTTCCCTCCCATTGAGGACAGAAGGGTGCCTGCCCTGAGGCCTTCTTTTGTCAGTTAATGGTGGCAGTATTGTCCTATTATCTAACTTTGAGGGCCTTCTTTCATGTAATCCAGAATTGAGTTTCTGTGTCTTAAATCAGGAAAGTTTCTGATGCTAGTTAGTGGAGAAAATTCCTCATCATGGCAGACGTCAAGTCACTTAAAGCCTATGCCCAACATGTACTCCACCTGGGCCCTTTGTCCTCAACTCTCTCCATTCCTCCTTGTTAAGCAGTCCATCTATTCACTATCACTATTGTTTTGTGGAAACTTTTTTTTAAATGATCCTGTTGGTGTGCGGTGTTTCACGGAGAACCCAGCTCTGTGCTACAAGTCTGCAGCTGGATCCTTAGCTCTTACCTGGAGATGGGTAAATACCAAGTCAAAAGGCTCTGGGATGGAGAAGCTGAAGGTGTGGATCAAGTAATAGAACACTTGCCTTGCAAACACAAGGCCATATGTTTGAACCCAGCACCACTAATAAAAGGACTGCAGGTGGTAGGGGCTCTTGGCTGATGTGTTCTGGGGGCCAGTGGAGAGATGCAGGAAACCCCAGGGTGTGTCAGGAACCATGGGTTGACTTGGAGTCTGAGGGAGCAGGTGTCTGAGCCTGAACCTGAAGGGGAATCCCCTTCCCCAGCCCTGAGCCCCTCATTGGGAGCTCTGAGTCAAGGCCTAGCTCCAGAGCATCTGGCAGCCAAGAAGAAGAAGACTAGGACTTGTGGAGAGTAAGCCCGGGGCTGTGCTTTTGAGGACCCAGAGCTGGAAGCAATCAAAGCTTGAGTTAGGTTGATGGAGAAAGAAGCTGAGAAGCTAAAGGAGCTAGAGGGAGGTGGAGTCAGGTGAATGTGAGTCTGCCTCCAGGCCATGTTGCCCAGTAATCCTGTCTATTGAGAAGATGGAGGCTGACATCAGTTCCATCTATGTTGGCAACACAGACTATGGTGTGATAGCAGAAGAGCTGGAAGCTCACTTTCATTGAGACCGTGGTTGGCCAACCGAATTATGCTCTGTCACAAACTTAGCAGTCATCCTGACGGGTTTGCTACAAGGAGTTCTCAGAAAATGAGTCAGTGAGGACCCCCTGGTCTTCCATGAGTCCCTTTTTAGGGGAAGACAAATCAGGGTGACTCCCAGACCAGCTAATAGACCAGGCATCTGCAGTTTTCCCACGTGCCCACTAATGTGGACAACCAACTGCAACAGTTCACAATCTTGATTCTATAGTGGTTTTAACAACAGACTCAGGGTCATGTCTACAGTATCTGAGCAACATCACGGTGTTCCCCTTAAAAAAAAAAAGTGTGAAGTGTGTATTAGGAGGAGAGAGAGAAAAAGAGGAAAAGAAGGGGAGTTAAGAATTTAAAAAAGTTAACCTTGCTGGAAAAAATTTATTAAAAAAAAAAGCCTGGAACCATGGCTCATGCCTGTAATCCTAGCTACTTGGGAGACTGAGATCAGGAGGATCACAGTATGAGGCCAGCCCAGGCAAATAGTTCATGAGACCCCCATCTCCAAAATAACCAGAACAAAATGTACTAGAGGTGTGGCTCAAGTGGTAGAGTGCCTGCTTTGCAAGCATGAAGCCCTGAGTTCAAACCCCAGTACCACCCCAAATTTTTTTTAACAATAAATAAATAAAGATATATTGTGGAAGGGGGAGAATCACATAACCACCTGCCAAGGAGGACCTGTTTTGGGGAGTAGGGGAAGGCCAGGCACGGGCAGGGGCTGTTCATTCACACTGAAGATTTGCCATGAACCCTCTCAACTGTGCAAACTGTTCCCATGGCTTCCTGCCTCCTTTGCCCCCTTGGGGGCTGCTGGAGGGTAGGTGGGGTGGGTGGTAGGGTTTCTTACCTAGCACTGTGGAAGGACACCAAGCTGTTCCCCCACCCCTGCCCTCCTGCCTCCCTGTCCTGCCAGGTCTACCACCCTCCTACCCTGTCTCTGGTCCCTTGCTACCCCAGGTTGCCTGTTGGTCTATTTTGTCTCTCAGTTCTGAGTTTCTTTACAGGTTTCAGCAGCCAGATCTCCATTCTGCTGCTCTAGTGTAAATTTCCCTTCTCTCCAGGGAAATACACTACCTTATTTTTGGGGATTTGGGGTTTGGCTTTTTTCAGTTTTGTTTCTTTGCCTTTATTCCTGTTTTATTTGGAGGGAATAGTAGGAAGCAGGAATAGGGAGATGGGAGATGGATTTTGTTTATTTTTTAGCTCATTTCGGGAGGGGAGTTGGCAGTAAGGGGGTTTGAAGTCAGGGCTTCATACTGGCTAGGCAGGTGTTCTACCACTTGGGCCATACCCCTAGGCCTTTTTTCTCTGGTTATTTTTGAGATAGGGTCTCGCTTTTTGTCCAGGCCAGCCTGGACTGCAACCCCCCTGTTCTATGCTTTCCTCCATTGCTGAGATGACAGGCATATACCACCGCACCCAGCCATTGGTCAAGATGGGGTCTTGCAAAGATATTTGCCCAGGCTGGCCTGGAATAATGATCCTCCCAATCTCAGCCTCCCAAATAACTAGGATTCCAGGCATAAGCCACCGGTAGCAGTAGCAGTAGCTATGAGGCATGAGTTACTGGCACCTGGTGGGGATGAGAAATTTTTTTAAATATGTGTCAGGAATAAAGTTGATTTTGAAAACTTAAAAAACTGTTAGGATTGGGGCATAGATCAAGTGGTACAGTGCTTGCCTAGCAAGTGGGAAACCCTGAGTTTAAACCCCAGTACTGCCCAATAAAATAGAAAAGTAACAGTGATGATGAAATAAGATCAAGTTATCCTCAAAACACTAAGCACAGAATTTTCTGCACTTCCACTCGTAGGTATACACCCCAAAAGAATGAAAGCACACATGTACTCACCCATGACAGCACTGTTCACGGTAGCTGGAAAGTGGAAAGTCCAATGCTGAGCAGTGGATGAATGAATGAAATCACTGTGGCAGGTGATACATGGTTAATATGTGAATATCTCCTAAGTTTAACAAAATCGAAGGTAACTGCTCTCCACATTGGCCCAGAGTAGGGAGGGATCCCTGCTGGCTCTCTTCCCCGAGCACCTGACCTAACACACAGTCATGTGAGCCATCCCACTCCAGCATAAGGCAGCTGTGACAGTCTCGCTGTTGACAAGGCCTCTGTGTCCCATATGATCACTCAATTTCCCTGAATCCAAAGCTGCACCACTGTCATACTCATTTGCATTCACAGGCAGGTTTTTGATAGGGGCATTCCAAATAGCATTAAAGTCATTTATCATTGATCAGAAACCCAAATGTAACAGAATCTTGTCTTTTAGCAGACATGCCTCCCCGGGCCCCATCAGGATCCACTGGCATCTGTCCACAAAGGGGGTGGTGTGTGGAGATGGACAGAGAGAGGGACAGAGATGGCAGGGAAATAGGCATAGAGATATCAGGGTGCCCAGTGTCCTACCCTCAGTGGTGTGGACCCACTCCAGAAACATCTACTGAGAGCCTGTCATGTGCCAGCAGCATTCTTGGCCCCAGGAGGAGGCCAGGGTGGGCACTGCAGGTCATGGCTCCTCTGACCTATCCCAGCCAGTACCTGCCCCTTTTGGCATGACTCCTGTGTCCTCAAGGAAGCAAGAGTTCAGGACTGGCCATCTCTCCCAATGTTTCAAGCTAGACAGACAAGTGCAGTACCTGCAGCTGGCTGGGGAGGGCTGCTGGGAGGGGCTTTGATAATGCACCCTGGGACTCATATGCTGACCTGCAAGTCTTGTGTCTGGGTTTATAACCAATCACCAACACCTTGAGCCCCGTACACAGCAGTGGCCCAGCAAACACAGTTCTGCCATGTTTCTGATCTCAGGCAAGATCGCAGCTTCACCAGAATGGGACAATAGTCTCTTTTGTAACTGGAAGAAAGAGGATGGCACAAGTTGCATTAACAGCTGGAAACTTAGGGTCTACTTGTCACATTCCACGTATTGAAGGGGGCCTGCCCAACTCCTCCCTCCTAGTGACCCCTGCAAGCCCCCTCTAAATGAC